AAAAAAAAAATACTAGATTCCAGTAGCAGCTTCCCCCGCCCCCCAACAAGCCAGACAACCAAATGTCTCCAGATATTGCCAACTATTCTCCACTGAGACCCCCTGGGCTCAGGTGACAGAGCAGGTCCTGCCAGTGCCAGGAGCTGTTCTTGTTCTGGTCATGAAATGCTGACCTGGAAGGAGAGATAAGACCTGCAGAACAAGTAGGTAGAATTTGTCAGGGGGTGGCAGCACCGAGGGCCGACTGGCACAGCCACCTGCATGTCACAGGGCTCCTAAGAAGACCTGTCAGACAGCAGTGCTAAGGGCCAACCACAAGGCCAACTGCACCCCACAGGGCTCCTAAGGACAAGGCGTCACCTCTGACCACAGTGGCAGGAAAACTGTAGGGAGGAGGCAGCATTTGAACCAGGCCATGTTATAATTACCCCTACTAATAACAATGGACGCCTTCCTTTCAAGCATATTATCGCAGTTATCACACCCTGATAGAGACACTGATTGGGTAACTGCCCTGAGGTCCACGGTTAATAATCACAAAGCTGAAACCAGATCTCATCTGTCTCCAAGCCAGGGATGCCACTCATACTGCCCCTCACTCGTTCCCCAACCAAAAATCTAGTGAGGGCATGGTCAGGGAAGCAGCCCAGTTCTAGGCACTGGTGGGGGAAAACCAAACACAACTCTGTCCCCATTCTCAGAGCCCAGCAGAGGAGACCTGCATGGCCTGGAGCACGACTGACAGGGTGAAGGACAGCATCAGCCACCCTTAGGAATGAGCAGAATCGTGATAGCCACAAATAGGGACACGACTTCCAAAGAGGCACTGCCTCTCATCAGTAAATAGGAGGTCTAAAGGGCAATGTCGTGTACATGGATAAAGCAGCCCAGTCTGCCTAGGGGACAGGAAGGAATGGGCGCTGGACCCACAAGGGTAGATAGTACGAAGAGCCTTGAACACGGGGCTGCAGGGTCAACAGTATGTTCTGTGGGAGAAGAAGGTAGTTTTAAGTGTGAGAGTCACAGCATCAAGGAAGAAGAAAATGGCCCTAAAATTAATCAGGATACAGGATGAGCTAAACATAAGAATTCTAGAACCATTGGAGTACGGTAGCTCATGTCTGTAATCCCAGCCAGGAGGATCGTTTGAGCTCAGGAGTTTGAGACCAGCCTGAGCAAGAGCCAGACCCATCTCTACTAAAAACAGAAAAACTAGCCACGTTGTGGCAGGTACCTGTAGACCCAGCCACTCAGGAGGCTGAGGCAAAAGGATCACTTGAGCCCAAGAGTTTCATATTGCTGTGAGCTAAGATGCCACAGCACTCTACTGAGGGCAACAGAGTGAGACTCTGTCTCAATCAATCAATAAGAAATAAAAAAATAAAAGTAGAAAAGAATTCTAGAACCAAGTTAAAGAGTCTAAGAAAAGAGTATGTAACTACTTGTGCCCCCTTTCAGATCAGAAGGCCTTTGTGTCTCCAAAGTTCAGTCACTATCCTAGGTCCCCTGGCTAATTCTTAACCAATAAATCTTCCTGTCAGGGCCAGAAACTTTAATAAAGGTGCAGAGTCCCTCCTCTACCAATGTTTGCCTAACCTGTCACTAAAACTTCAAAGCAGAGAGTACAAGTTAAGTGATTACTGGTCTAGTATGTTAAGTTGTAAAATGAAGTCAGGGCATCTAAACTTCAAAGTGTTTAGAAAACAATGAATTGATACTCAAAAACTTCTACTGCTGAGAAGTTAAAGAATGCCTTTAGGGGCTCGGCGCCTGTGGTTCAAGTGCCTAAGACCCCAGCCACATACACCTAAGGTGGTGACTTCGAATCCAGCCCCGGCCCACCAAACAATGATGGCTGCAACCAAAAAAAATAGCCAGGCATTGTGGCAGGCGCCTGTGGACCAGCTACTTTGGAGGTGGAGGCAGGAGACTCGCCTGAGCCCAGGAGTTAGCTATTGCTGTGAGCTGTGATGTCATGGCACTCTACCCAGGGGGACAGCTTGAGGCTCTGTCTCAAAAAAAAAAAAAAAAGGGCATGGGTGGATCATTAGCCTTCATTTCAAACTTTTTGTGCACCATCAAAACAGGAAGAATTAAAAAAAAATTAGGTCAAATAGCTGATGACTGACCAATCTACGTCTTAACAAAGAAACAGCTGTGTGGCCAGGAATACAGAAATGATACGAACAACTCCCCTAGCACAGCTGTAACAACCTCCATTTAATTTATGCATGGTTGACCCTCATCCTCTTCTTTTTTTCTTCCTTCAGAGTCTCAGTCTGTTGCCCAGGCTAGAGTGTTGTAGTGTCAGCCTAGCTCATAGCAACTTCAGACTCCTGGGTTCAAGGGATCTTCCTGCCTCAGTCTCCTGAGTAGCTGGGACTACAGGCACCTGCTACAATGTCCAGCTAGTTTTTCTATTGTTAGTATAGAGATGGGGCCTCACTCTTTGCTCAGGCTGGTCTTGAGCTTCAGAGCTCAAGCCATCCTCTGGCCTTGGCCGCCCAGAGTGTGGGATTGCAGGCGTGAGCCACCACATCTGCCCCATCCTCTTCATTTTTTGCATAGCTAAGTTCTAACGTCTTCAAGAGGCCCATCATGCCTCCTCAGTCTACCCTGTGAGCCTGTGTAGATTATTTCCTATCCATGCCACACACTTTAGCACCAGCACACCTTATAACTTTGTTTTCAATTAGACCTGGAACTCCACTAGTAAAGGATCTTTACCAAATTCTTTCAGATCATGAAGTGAAGTGCTTGCCAGTAAAGCTAATGTGATCGTAGGCCATAGGTGTACAAAGAAACACAACTGAAGGTGGCTCACTCCTGGAATCCCAGCACTCCATGAGACTGAAGCAGGTGGATCCCTTGAGCTCAGGAATTTGGGGTTACTGTGACTTATACCACCACAGCACTCTACCCAACAGAGTAAGATTCTGCCTCAAGAAAAAAAAAAAAAAAGAAAGAAAGAAAAAAAGAACTACTATCTAGAATGAGGGACACACCAGTGATGGTCCTGCTTTACCCACAGCCTGGTCTACTTGAAGATATAGCTCTAAAAAATTAAGGCTGAGGAAATGTCAAACTGAAGGTTTCACAGCACTGAGGATACTGAGCCTGAGACAAGTGCTGTCTTAGAGGAAATGTAAGAACTGTTTTCAAATACATAAGAGGAATAGCTCAGGCCTACAATCTGAGCACTGTGGGAGGCTGAAGGAGAAGGATGGCCTGAGGCCAGGAGTTTGGGACCAGCCTAGGCAACATAGTGGGACTTCTCTATGAAAACATTAAGAAATTAGCTGGGCATGCTGGCTGCTCCTTAAGTCCCAGCTATTCAGAAGGCTGAGGCTGGAGGATGTCTGGAGCCTAGGAGTTCGTGGCTGCAGTAAACTATTGCATTCCCACATAGGTGACAATCTGTCCTAAGGACAAAAAATAACTCAGTGGCTCATGCCTGTAATCCTAGCACTCTGGGAGACTGAGAAAGGTGGATTGCTTGAGCTCCAGAGTTCAAGACCAGCCTTAGCAAGAGTGAGACCCCATCTCTACTAACAATAGAAAACTTAGCCAGTGTGGTGGCACACACTCATAGTCCCAGCTATTCAGAAGGCTGAGGCAAGAGGATTGCTTAAGTCCAGGAGTTTGAGGTTGCTCTCAAGCTAAGCGGATGCCATGGCACTAAAGCCTAGGTAATGGAGCAAAACTCTGTCTCAACAAAGAAACAAACAAACAAAAAGCTTTCAGTAGTACTGGCCCTACTTCTGTCTTTGGCTTATAAATGGCTTCTCTCAGCCTTGTGTAAGCTGAGGACAGAAACAGCATTTTTTTTTTTTAAACAAAGTCTCACTATGTGACCCTTGGTAGAGTACTGTGGCATCACAGCTCACAGCAACCTCAAACTCTTAGGCTTAAGCCTCCCAAGTAGCTGGGATTACAGGCACCCACCACAATGCCTGCTTATTTTTTTGTTGTTGCAGTTGTCATTGTTGTTT